GTTAAGCTTTTTATAGTGGTCAGTAGAAGTTATATAATGAATTCGAAGATGTTGAAATGGAAAACCTTGGGATATTGTGCTAAATTACAAAAATGTTCAAAAAGGAAACTGATGTGACAGTGTAACATCAGATCCTCTGTGACTTAATGCTTGATCCTACAAAAACCCCACTGGATTTACAGTCTCCACCTCAGTGTATTTACTTTGGACAAGGTGCTCAGCTGAGAATGTATTGAGTTGGAAAATGATTGATCTAGGAGGGATGGGATCAGGCAGACATTTAATAGGTATTGCTTCCACAACAAGCAGAAGGAACTGCATCTCCCTGATGCATCTCTTCAAGAGAAAACTTTTAAAATCTTTCTTCCTCTATAGCAGAAATGAGAATGGGAACTTCTGGACTGTGAGAAGGAATACGAAAAATAATCCAACTCTTTAGTCCATTATGAAAAAGAGGTAAGTCAACCAGTGTGAATGGAGAAGGAGGGAACTTCTTTCGGTCAAAGTTCTGTCATGATGAGATAGAATAATATAATAATAATAGTAGTAGTAGTAGTGGTAGTAGTTGGAAGGGACCTTGGAGGTCATTGAGTCTAACCCCCTGCTCAGGCAGGAACCCTACACCATTTCAGACAAATGGCTGTCCAGTCTCTTCTTAAAAACTTCCAGTGTTGGAGCATTCACCGCTTCTGAAAGCAGGTTGTTCCATTGGTTAATTGTTCTAACTGTCAGGAAGTTTCTCCTTAGTCCTAAGTTGCTTCTCTCCTTGATCAGTTTCCATCCGTTGCTTCTTGTCCTGCCTTCAGGTGCCTTGGAGAATAGCTTGACTCCCTCTTCTTTGTGGCAGCCCCTGAGATATTGGAACACTGCTATCATGTCTCCCCTCGTCCTTTTCTTCGTTAAACTAGACATACCTAATTCCAGCAATCGTTCCTTATATGTTTTAGCCTCCAGTCCCCTAATCATCTTTGTTGCTCTTTTCTGTACTCTTTCTAGAGTCTCGGTATCTTTTTTACATTGTGGTGACCAAAATTGGATTCAGTATTCCAAGTATGGCCTTATTAAGGCATTGTCCACTAGGACTCCAAGGTCCCTCTGTTGAGCAAAGTACCCCCTATACTATACCTGTACATTTGGTTTTTCTTGCCTAAATGTAGAACCTTACTTTTTTTCACCATTGAATTTCATTTTGTTAGATAGCGCCCAATGTTCAAGTCTGTCCAGATCCTCTTGTATCTTAAGCCTGTCTTCTGGAGTGTTGGCTCTTCCTGCCAGTTTGGTGTCATCTGCAAATTTGATGATTTCTCCATCTATCCCCTTGTCCAAATCGTTGATGAAGATGTTGAAGAGCACTGGGCTCAGAACAAAGCCCTGGAGCACCCCACTACACAGTTCCCTCCATGTAGATGCGGTTGCATTGAGGACCACACGCTGAGTACAGCGGTCAGCCAGCTACGGATCCATCTGGTGGTGATGCTGTCTAACCCACATTTTTCTATCTTATCATTGATTTAGCGAAGTAAATGCATGGGGAGAAAGGCGGGTACTGCAGTGAGACCAGGCTTTTTTCCTCACTACTGGATTTTTGCTGCCATACTGTTTAACTTTCTTTAAACTTTAGTTGATGCAGAATTGGAAGGATCCGCATTCTGCATCAAGTAAACTTTAAACAAATTTATACAGTATGGCAGCGAAAATCTGCCAGCGGGTAAAAAACCTTGTTTTTTTGAGATGCCAGACTAGCGTGAATTCATGTGCTTCCAATCCCCTTGCTTGTTGCAAAGCCAGATTGGAGCCCTTGGGCTGCTCCTTCAGACAATTTCAGAGCCAGTCCAAAAGCAAAGTGAATGGTTGCCACCCACCCGACCTCTGTGGGGTTTCGTTTCCAAAGACCCTCTGCATACGCTCTGGACAAACCGAGATCCAGGACTGAAAAAGCAGCAACAGGAGCAAAGGGCTGTTCAAAGGAGGAGGAAGAAGGAGAAAGAGGGAGACGCCATTGAGCAGGCGAGGCGCAACAGGTGTCAGGGTGTGATAGATCTGGCTGCAGGGGGCCTTTGGCATGGTAATCTGTTGTAGAATACGTGGGGCAGCTCTCCCCCACCTCCCACACTGCCTAGTGTCTAGCAACTAGATGGTGTGATGGAATGGGCAGCTGGTATCCATGCAGGCTTTTAAATAGGGCTAATTTTTGGGTAGGGCTTATATTAGGCCCAACACTAAAAATGAACCTAAGTCTTCTGTTCGAGGTAGGTCTTATTTTGTGGGGGAAATGGTAGATCAAGCAAGACAGAAATAGCTGCTAACCTGTGGTAGGATAGGACAGGACAGGACAGGACGAGCTGGAAGGGACTTTGGAAGTCTTGTAGTCCAAGCCCCCATTCAAGCAGGAGAACCTATACCAACTCAGACAAGTGACTGTCTAGTCTCTTCTTAAAAACCTCCAGTGATGGAGCACCCACGATTTCTGAAGGCAAACTGTTCCACTGGTTAATTGACCTAACTATTAGCAACTTTCTCCTTAATTGCAGGTTGCTTCTCTCCTTGATCAGTTTCCAACCATAGTTTCTTCTCCTGCCCTCTGGTGCTTTGGAAAATAATTCGACTCCCTCTTCTTTTTTGCAGCCCCTCAAATACTGGAATACTGCTATCATGTCACCCCTATTACGTCTTTTCTTTAGAGTAGCCAAACCCAAATCTTGCAGCCGTTCTTCATATGTTTTAGTTTCCAGGCCTTTGATTATTTTAGTTGCTCTTCTCTGAACTTTTTCCATGGCCTCAACATCTTTTCTGTAGTATGGTGACCATAGTTGTTTGCAGTATTCCATGTGTAGTCTTACTAGGGTTTTATAAAGCGGTAGTAATACTTTGTGTGATCTTGATTCTATGCTTGTTTATACAACCCATGATTGTGTTACCTTTTTTGGCGGCGGCTGCACATTACTAGCTCATAGTTAAGTGATCGCCTACTAGAACTCTAAGATCCCTCTCACAGTTACTATTTTTGAGCCAGGTCTCACCTAATCTGTACTTATATCTCTCATTTTTCCTGCCTAAATGTAATACTTTGCTTTTCTCCACATTAAAACTTATTTTGTTGGATAGGGCCCATTGTTCAAGTTTGTCAAGAACTTTTTGAATCTTCAAGTTATCTTCTGGGGTGTTGACTATTCCTGCCAGTTTACTGTCATCTGCAAATTTGATGAGTTCCCCTTCTATTCCCTCATCTAAGTCATTGATGAAGATATTGAAGAGTACTAGGCCTGAGCCTTGTGGTACCCCACTGCTTATTTCTCTCCGTGTAGATGTAGTACCATTGAGGTCTACTCGTTGAGTACAGTTTGTCAGCTAGCTACAAATCCATCTGGTGATGATGTTGTCTATTCCACCTTTTCCTAGCTTACCTAGCTTACTTATCAGAAAATGTTATCTACTTTGTCGAACACCTTACTGAAATGTAAATATATTATGTCCACAGCGTTTCACTGGTCTACTAATTTGGCCACTTTATCAAAAAAGGAAATAAGATTGGTTTTGTATGATTTGTTTTTAACAAACCCATGCTGGCTACCAGTTATAACTTTGTTTGCTTCTAGTTGTTCGCAGATCTGTTTTTTGAGTACTTTTCCACTATCTTCTCAGGTACTGATGTTAGACTGATTGGTTTGCTGGGTCTGGTTTTTTTTCCTTTCTTGAAGATGGGAACCATATCAGCCCTTTTCCAATCCTCATAATTGTTAATAAGCAAATATAATTGGGAGGATTTTGAGCCTGAATTTACAAGCCCTGCGGGGTTGCAGCTGTTTATTCAAATATTACTGCTGGATGATTCAGTGTCAAAATGGAGAGACAGCACCAATTCCAATTTTCTGCCAGTTATTGTCCAATGTTTCATTAAAAATGGAACAGAGTGTCAGTCAAAGAAAAATAGACAATTATTGTACTTTTCTTTTAATTAATGATCTAGCAACACCCCAGTTTCCTTAAATCAGGGGTGTTCAAACTTGGCTTTTTTATGTGGACTTCAACTCCCAGAATTCCTTAGTCAATGTGCCTGGTTAAGGGATTCTGGGAGTTGAAGTCCACAACTCATAAAAAGGCCATGTTTGAACATCCCTGCCTTAAATTCTACAGAGAGCTTTCCTACTGAAATTTCCTGAGGGTGTTTGCTATTCAATCCCTAAATAAAACACATTTCTCCTCTTCTTTTTCTCCCCTCAGTATTTTAATGATATGTTATATTTTCCATAGTTGCTTTCCATCCTTTTGCAGTTCCAACCTTTCTCCAGTGACAGGTAAGACCCCGCTTTCCCCTTTTCATTTCAAGGAGCCTCGTTGTGAAGTAAAATTTCTGGAAAATCCTCCAGTTTCAGCTTTCCCCCCCACTTTGGAGCAGTTTTTTCTTTCCCTTCAGCGTCCTTTCCTGGGTCCAAAGCAGCTGCTCGACTTTCCCAGTGATTCTGAGACATCCAGAGCCAAAAATTGGACAAGGGCAGCTACAGATACAGAACCAGAGAAATAGAAATACATTTTCCCAATTGTGGCTTCCCTGCCCATGTCTCATCTTCCTCTCCTTCAGGCGGAGTTCACAACAACTGCAAGACACAAATAGTGTTTCCTGGTCCTCGTCTTCTGACCGCCCATCAGTTTTTGAGAGGATTTGGGCCCATTTTGAGGCCAATCTCTGAGGAGCCTTCAGGTCGAATATTCTTGAGGGAAGTGAGTTGAAATCCTCCAGAGATATTTTTTTCTCCATGTCCACAAAGGGTCCCTTGATAGGAAGATGGAAAAGGTGCCGCTTCTGGAGACACCGAAGCCTTTGAGACGGTCCTTTCCTTCTCCCATACCCATCATCCCTGCCCTCCTCCTCGCTTCAGACGGGCTCCTGTTTCCCGCCCTTTCGGGTAATGCAGACACTCCGCGTAGAGTCCACCAGAGAGCGCTCTCAGCCTCAGGAGGGAACTGGGCATGCGCAGGACTCCTCCACCTGTGCAGATTACCCGTGTTGCCCGGAGAAATCGTAGGAAGAGGCTGCTCTTTCTCCTCCCCCCTCCCTCCGCTGAGAGGCGGGGGCGGGGCGTGCAGGGGAGGCGCAAAAGCTGCCGGGAATCCCTGCGGGGAGCCGGAGCCGGACGAGACTCTCGATTTATACGAGTAGCAGCTCTGCCCGTGCAAAGGGGTTCCGCGCTGGAGGCGAGTGTGGAGACGGGCCAAGTCTTCCCCCGAGGTGGGAGTCCCATCTTCCGCTGCCGCTTTTTTCCATGCAGGGCCCGGCAAGGGGGAGGGGGGGAGGAGAGAAATGGGGGTCGCCAGAAGGGAGGGGCCCTTTCCCCCCATTTCCAGGGGGAGCCTCTGCATGGCGGGGGGAAGGCGCGGCTGGCCCGAAGTCCCCCTGCCTGCTCCGGGTGCAAGTCCGGGGCCCCGGGTGGAGGACCGGGACTGGGGTGCTGCTTCCCCCGCCAGTTCCCTAAGGGCTTTAGGCCAGAATGATTAATGGGGTTCTGATGTCTAAAGTTTTACTAAAGGCTCTAATGTTGATTTAACTCTTCTTTGAAATCATTAGAACAAATAACCAGGAATTTGAAATCCAAAACATAATTTAAATGTATTTGTCCAGTAGTTTGAGTCTTTCATAGAAGTTGATCAAGAAGGATGTATCAGAATATGTCCCAGCTGTTAAAGTTCAAATACCTAATAGGATTCCTCACTTTCTTCCCTGATCTTAGTGGTTTTATAAGATATTCTTCTTGTTATATATTTTTGGGTGGGGTGGGGTGGGGGATGGATTGACGCTTGTTAATGTAGTCACCCTGGTTTCCTGGTACTTACTTTGGTTTTCCATTTTGGAAATAGAAGCTGCAAATCTTTAGTGCAGTATAGGTACAGTATAGATGGAACCTTCCTCAATAGTAGTAACTGAGAGGGAGTACTAGTGGACAATCATTTAAATATGAGTCAGCAGTGTGCTGCAGCTGCCAAAACAGGCAACACAGTGCTAGGCTGTATTAACAAGATCACGTGAAGTGTTAATACCACTTTACAATGCCTTGGTAAGGCCACACTTGGAATACTGCATCCGGTTTTGGTTACCATAATGTAAAAAAGATGTTGAGACTCTAGAAAGAGTGCAGAGAAGAGAACAAAGATGATTAGGGGACTGGAGGCTAAAACATATAAAGAACTGTTGCAGGAATTGGGTATGTCTAGTTTAAAGAAGAGAAGGACTAGGGGTGACATGATAGCAGTGTTCCAATATTTCAGGGGTTGCCACAAAGAAGAGGGAGTCAGGCTATTCTCCAAAGCACCTGAGTCAGCACAAGAAGCAATGGATGGAAACTAATCAAAAAAAGAAGCAACCTAGAACTAAGGAGAATTTTCCTGACAGAACAATTAATCAGTGGAACAGCTTGCCTCCAGAAGTTGTGAATGCTCCAACACTGGAAGCTTTTAACAAGAAACTGGACAACCATTTGTCTGAAATGGTATAGGTTTTCTGCCTGAGCAGTGGGTTGGACTAGGAAGACCTCCAAGGTCCCTTCCAACTCTTCTTCTTTTGTGTGTGTGAAGCAGCCATCGTGTTATAGTTTGACTTTGTTCCCCAAAAGCCAGCACTGAAAACCAGGAAGTGAGCATCCTAAGTCAGGGTCATTTCCTTTGCATTTCATTTGATGTGAACTCAACCTTCATGGCATCGTTAGAATGTTGTTCCTTCCCAGGATCATTTCATTCAGCATTATCCATATTAGGGTTTTTTTTCCTTTTCCTCACTAACAAAAAATAAATTTGGGATGAGCCATTTTTGGAACTTCCTCCTTTTCTCTATCGCTCCAATTATTTAAAAACAAACAAACTTAAAAACAAGAGTGAGTAACATCCTTAATACTGGTAAATGTCTAATGCCTAAATTTCTCAACATGAAGGACAAGAAATGTGTCAAAATTTCATTCCAGTTTCTTAAGCACCTTGATTTCTAGCATCTTGTATGATCCCTAATTGTAGGGTATATATGATCTTAAATGTCAAAGGAAGCTAACTTGCCCTTGAGGGAAAAAATATTGAAAATCCACCAAATATAAAACATTTCTTTTATAATCCAATATAAAATATTCCACATCTTGATGTAATCTAGGACCATATTTTACACCACACTTGATGGACAGACAAAAAGAGAAATACCCAGAGGATCCATCTGCTGAATACCTATGCAATCCGTTACCAACTTCACTTTCATGAGGAGGAATGTTGTTTACCACCTTCTCATTTTTTGAATTTATTTTCTTTTCCATTTCAGATGCAGAAACTAGAGGCATCTCAACAACTTTCCTAACAACAAAAAGTTAACTCTTGGGCAAAGAGCTTGGATAGTTGGTCAGTTCTGCAGCTACCGGAACAGTCCTATGAATTGAAAGGTGTTTGGAGATCCACAAGATTCCTTTGTCCTGTATGGAACTTCCTTACAGGACAGACAAAGGATGCAGATACAACCATTAGCAAGTGGGGGAACTGGAAAAGGCCCCTCTGCTGTTGAGTCTGGCAGCTATGGGAAGATCTGGGCAAAAACTGAGAAGAGGTTCCTGGAGGAGAAAACCATCATCCATTCAGAGATTGAGCCCTGCAACTTCAGAAACATCCAATATGAGGAGATTGATGGTCCCCGAGGACTTTCCAGCCGACTCCATAACTTTTATAGTCAATGGCTGAGACCAGAAAAGCACACCAAAGCCCAGATGTTGGACCTAGTAGTTCTGGAGCAGCTGCTGGCCCTTCTGCCACCTCTGATGGCAAATTGGTTGCGGGAATGTGGAGCAGAGACCAGCTCCCAAGCGGTGGCCCTGGCTGAAGGCTTCCTCATGAGTCAGGCAGAGGAGCAGAAGGAGCAAGTTGAATTTCAGGTGAGAGACATTCATCTTTGAAGTCCAGAAGGGAATAAAGAATGTGTTTGAATTTTTCATCCCTCCCTTCCCTACTTCTCTGCTCTTCATAATATGTGGAGATGCTTCACTAGTTCTTGCAGGATATTATTCCATTATCCAGACTGGAGATAGCTGTTCCTTTCTTACGTTCTAGGCTCATTGATTGATATTGGGGCATTGAAGTTGTTTTTAGAGAACAAGAATCCACTTCATGTATTGTAATGTTTTATTCAAGTTTTTCCCTCTGCAGACCAGAGATCCTAGGAGAATCAGGAATCCATCAAATTCTTCTCAGGAGCTGTTTTCAAGGAGGATCTATCAGGAATCCGCAAGTCAGGACATCTCAGATGGTAATCAAAAATCCACCCATTCTCAAGAGAGGTCCCAGCTGTCTTACCTTCTCTCTCTTCTCTTCTGCAGAAGGCCTCCTGCCATTTTATTAATTATCCATTTAAAAATTCTGTCTCCCTCATAGGTGGTTCTGAAAGAGTGGTTGAAGTTCCAACTCAAGTAAGAGAGATATAATAAAAGATAAAATGTTCTCAATGTTAGCGTTTTCTAAATAGTAATCCTATTACTATTTGGCATGGAATAGTGCAATAATAACTGAAAGAATCACATTGGCACCTTACAACTTCTAAAGCACCTTGTTTAGTGATAAGATAAATAATTGCACCAGGTTAAAAGATGAAGCAGACGGTTAAAATCCAAAGAGGGTGGGCAGATCAAGGCCCTCCAGCCTTTAGAGGAATTTCTAATACTCCGATTTGTGTCTGGAATTTGGGACCAAACAATTCAGCTTGGAAAGGATGAGAAATGCTCTTCCCAGGTAGGTTTCTATTCTTCAGTCATTGGGTTGGAGTACAAGCCGTGGATTCCTTGTAATCTGAGGAGCAGCGGAAACAGGGCTTGTGTTCCTTCGTCTATTGATGACTCCCATGTAAATGCCTGGGTGCCTCTCAAACAACTTTAATGAAGGTTTTGAGCATGGATAAAATTGTTTGCTCTGGGGACACCACATGCTTTTTACTGAATTGGTAAAAAGAAATACCACCAACTGCATTTTCATCTGCAAATATTGGGTTGATTGGAGTGAGTGATGGGTGGGGTTTCCAAGGCCCATTCCAGTTGATTCTCTCCAGAGCTGAAAGTCTTGCTGATCTTGAAAATCCATTTTTCTTCTGTTTTCTTCTTATTCAGGAGGGTCTTGTGTCCTTTGAGGAGGTGGCTGTGTATTTCTCTGAGGAGGAGTGGTCTCAGCTGTATGCTGGCCAAAAAGCACTGCATTGGGAAGTCATGCTGGAAAATCATAGGAACGTGGCCTCTTTGGGTAAGAATATGCTACTCCCCTGTCCAAGTGAGATGTATTAGCTCTTTTTATTCAAGAAATTTATCAGAATATAAACAGTAAGAACTTTGAAGTGTAAATGAAGAAAATAATTGAATGATAAATAAGAAAAAAGTATGATGAAATTAAGAAAAGAAAGAAAAAACAAAGTAATAATGAAGTTAATATTTGTCCCGTTTCTAAGGTTACATCATTCTTTACATTAGATAATTTATCCATTCTAATCTTTGAACACAAGTTTGATGACAAGATCAATTTTTCTTTTTTTCAGCAAAGTCCATTGGAGGTTTCCAATCACTAATAAATATAGATACTATCCTTATCTTAATCAGAGTCAATTAAGTCATCATTGAAAAGTGTATCCCCAACCAGTCCACCATTCTACTTATTGTAGAGCCCTTCAGCTTTACGTGTATAATAGTCTCACTATGGCTGTCATACTCAGAAACTATCTTCTATGACTTTTAATTAGTGCCAACGTGAAGTGTTCTGATTTCACTTGGATATTAATCTTTAAAGTTCTCTGTATCAGTGAATGTCTTTGAATCCATACTTTTCTAGGTTTTTTAGAAGTCCACTTGAGTAAAGCATGACAAAATGACCCTTTATCTTGTCCACATTTCCAGTGTAAGTTTGAGGTACATTTATGCACTTTTAAATATGTTTTCTGCTGATTTTCACATTGCTCAGCCTATTTAGAGGTTTTAGCAATTACATATTCATCTTTTCCATGCAAATGAGATTCAAATTCTGCTTTATACTATAGTTCCCTTTATTTACCTAGAGTCTTTTTGATACGAAAAATACTGACAATTACATGTCTATGGAGATTCTCAGTCATCCAGGTCATAGTTGTCCCACAAGTATCTTTTCAAGAGCTAACTGGAATTTCTTTTAAAGTCAAGCTGTTTCCTTAGTTAATTGTCCTCACTTTTAGTAACTTTCTCCTTAGTTCCAGGTTGGTTCTCTCCTTGACCAGTTTCCAACCATTGTTTCTTCTCCTGCCCTCTGGTCCTTTGGAGAATAATTTGACCCCCTCTTCTTTTTTGCAGCCCCTCAAATACTGGAATATTGCTATCATGTCACCCCTAGTTCTTCATTTCTTTAGAGTAGCCAAACCCAAGTCCTGCAGCCGGTCTTTGTATGTTTTATTCTCCACACAGGATCTCTGGAGGTCAGTCAGAGTGCCCATCGAGTTCTTGATCACCTGTCTTACAAGGCTCTTCTCTCCCGATTGCTCAGTTTGACCAGGTAACCAGCTCTTAGAAGAGTTCTGGTTGTGCCAAACTTCTTCCATTTGAAAATTATGGAGGCCACTTATAGTAGGAACCTTCAGTGCAGCAGAAATTTTATTGTAGCCTTTCCCAGATGTGTGCCTTGCAAAAATCTTGTCTCTGAGCTGCTCAGGCAGTTCCGTTGACCTCATGGCTTTTACTCTGCTACAGTGTGCATTGTCAGCAGTAAGGCCTTCTATAGACAGCTGTGTGCCTTTCCAAGTCATGTCCTATCAATTTAATTTACCACAGGGGGACTCCAACCTAGGTGTAGAAGCATGTCAGCAATGATCAAGAGAAATAGGAGGCATGAATTTCACATGTTATTGCAAAGGGCCAGGTGTACAAAGCTTGTCACATCATACCCAAAAAGTCTCAAGGCTATAAATGCTGCCAAATGTGCTTCAACAAAGTACTGAATGAAGTATCTGAATACTTATGTCAATGTGATATTTCATTTTTTTCTTTTTAATAAATTTTGCAGACATTTCTAAAATTCTTTTCACTTTGTCTTTATGTGGTACTGAATGTACCTTAATGAGAAAAAAATGATTTTCAACAACTGTAGAATCAAGGCGCAGCATAATAATTTGACAGAAATGAAGGGGGTCTGAATACTTTTTGAATGCACTGAATATACTTTTTGCATTCTTGATTTAATTTGGTATTCCCACAAGTCAATTCTCTTATTTCTGAAGAACTCCCATTTCTTATCCAAACCACACAGCAGACTACAACGTCCAATTTGAAATCAAGCAAACCAAATCTTCCCTTTTCCTTCGAACCATGAAGAATTTGATATTTAATTTACGGATTTTCCCTTGCCATACAACCCTAGATTCATGTTCAAAATTTTCAATCTTCTTTTCTTTTTGAAGGTAATAATGGGAAGGAAAATGAAAATTCCGGAAAACTATTCCAAGTGATCAGATGTGGATACAATACAAAGAACCCTACAATTCTAATGGAAGTAGAAAGCCATGAGAGAAACCAGTCAAATAATTGGAATCAGGAAAGTTCATCTTCCATTCATGCACCAATGAAATCATCTATGGCTCAACAAGGAAAAACAAAGAACAAATATATTGGAAAATGTTTAAAACCATTCAAAGACAAATTTGATGTAAATGAACACAATCAAACCCAAACCAAAGGAGAAGATTATATATCTAGAGACAATGGAAAAAATTACAAATGGACCATGTCTTCTACACATAAAAATGGGTCCCGTACATCTGAAAAAAGAACCCAGGCAGAAGAGAAGCCCTATAAGTGCATGCAGTGTGGAAAGAGCTTTATTAAGAACCATCAACTTATCTACCATAAAAAGATCCACAAAGCAGAGAAAACATATAAATGCAAGGAGTGTGGGAAAAGCTTTACTAGTAACAGTCATCTTACATGTCATCAAATAATCCATACAGGGGAAAAGCCTTATAAATGCATGGAGTGTGGAAACAGCTTTACAAACAATAGAGAATTTACTTCACATAAAAGGATTCACACAAGAGAGAAGCCCTACAAATGCACAGAGTGTGGAAAGTGCTTGAGCTCACTCAAAAATCTTTCTGTACATGAAACGATTCACACAGGGGAAAGGCCTTATAAATGCATGGTGTGTGGAAAGACCTTTATTCATACAACTCATCTTAGTTCACATAGAAGGACCCACACAGGAGAGAAGCCCTATAAATGCATGGTGTGTGGAAAGAGCTTTACTCAGAGCAGCAATCTTACTTCTCATGAAAGGATCCACACAGGAGAGAAGCCCTATAAATGCATGGCGTGTGGAAAGAGCTTCACCCGTAGTACTTATCTTACTTTGCATTATCGAATCCATACAGGAGACATGCCCTATAAATGCCTAAAGTGTGGAAAGAGCTTCACCTGTAGTACTTCTCTTACTTTGCATTATCGGCTCCATACAGGTGAGAAGCCCTATAAATGTATGGAGTGTGGAAAGAGGTTTCCCAAGAGCACTGATCTTGTTTTCCATAAAAGGATCCATGCAGGGGAAAAGCCATATACATGCCTGGAGTGTGGAAAGAGCTTTGTTAAGAACTCTCAACTTATTTACCATAGTAGGACACATACAGGGGAGAAGCCATATAAATGCATGGAGTGTGGTAAGGCTTTTATTACAAATAGTTCTCTTAACGTCCACAAAAAAACCCACACAGGGGAGAAGCCTTATAAATGCATGGAATGTGGAAAGAGTTTTTCTAGAAACAATATTCTTAACTCCCATAAAAGGACGCACACAGGGGAGAAGCCGTATAAATGCATAGAATGTGGAAAGGGTTTCTCTACGAATAGTTATCTTAACATCCATAAAATGACCCATACAGGGGAGAAGCCACATAACTGCAGGAAGTGTGGGAAGAGCTTTATTCAGAACAGCGAACTTATTTACCATAGTAGGACACATACCGGGGAGAAGCCATATAAATGCATAGAGTGTGGAAAATGCTTTTCTTTCTCTGGTAGTCTTACTCGCCATAAAAAGACTCACACAGGGGAGAAGCCTTATAAATGCATTGAATGTGGAAAGTGTTTTTCTAGGAAGAATTATGTTAACACCCATAAAAGGATCCACACGGGGGAGAAGCCGTATAAATGTATGGTGTGTGGAAAAGGTTTTATTACAAATAGTTATCTTAACTTTCATAAAAGGACCGCACAGTGTAAAAGCTCTATAAATCTGTGAAATATGGAAACATCTTCAAGAGGACCAATGGGCAAATGTTCCATATATAGATACATTTGGGTGAGAAACTGTTACGTTTAGTTTTTGAAATATATGCATTTCCTAATTGCATCTGAATTTTTTGACTCTGACTTTCACAATTGGAAGCCCCAGAGATGAATTTACTAATGGAAACCAAATGCTACGCATGTGGTGTTTTAAAGATGAACAGTGGATTATTTTAGCTACTGTCATTTGAAGGCCATCAATGCCATTTCATTTAAAAAAAAGAGAACACCTTTTTTGTTCATGTTTTTCCCATTTCCAATTGGATCATAATAAAGAAAGCCCAAATCCCCAATGAAACTTTATAAAAGTTTAATTTTTGAGAGCAAGAATCGGGTTGAGCTAGCAAAATGTCATTCCAGGCATACTATGGGAAAGGCATAAATCACGAAAGATGTCAGATGCCTATCTTTGCTTTCTTTGAAGCTCCTAGCAACTGCCATAACTAGGAAGAAGGGGACACTTGGCAGGGGAAGAGCATTGGAAGCGGATTGTTGTGAGAATTTGGGAGTATGGATATGAACAGGAGCCAGTGGTGCCAAACTGAGCCATCTTCCTGCCCTCAAGGACACCAGCCCTGGGAAAGGAATTATATCTGCTGGTGAGGCATCAGGTTGCTAAAACATTGGACCAGGATTGGATTGGACTGATCTAACCAAGGGAAGGGGTTTGGACATTGGAGATTGCTTTCAATATATAGTTTTTGCGCAGTTTTCTTCAGAGCTTGCCTTGCTTATGCTGCACTTGGTATCTTTAGTAAAAGTACCTTTTCTCTAACATCCATGGAATCAAGGCTCATTCTTTCCTAGGGAACAAACTGGCCAGTCTAACAAAAGAGTTGCAGAAATAATCACTAAATATGAATTATCAAAAAAGTGTGATGCTGAAGAAGATACCTTATGAACAGAATGGTTTAAGTAGCCATTGTTTTACAGTTAAGCTTTTTATAGCGGTCAGTAGAAGTTATATAATGAATTGGAAGATGTTGAAACAGAAAACTTCTTGGGATATTGTGCTAAATTACAAAAATGTTCAAAAAGGAAACTGATGTGACAGTGTAACATCAGATCCTCTGTGACTTAATGCTTAATCCTATGAAAACCCCACTGGATTTACAGTCTCCACCTCAGTGTATTTAGTTTGGACAAGGTGCTCAGCTGAGAATGTATCCCAGTATTGAGTTGGAAAATGATTGATGTAGGAGGGATGGGAACAGGCAGACATTTAATAGGTATTGCTTCTACAAGCAGAAGAAGCTGCATCACCCTGATGCATCTCTTCAAGAGAAAACTTTTTAAATCTTTCTTCCTCTATAGCAGAAATGTGAATGGGAACTTCTGGACTGTGAAAACCAATAGGAAAAATAATCCAACTCTTTAGTCCATTGTGAAAAACAGCTAAGTCAACCAGTGTGAATGGAAAAGGAGGGAATTTCTTTCGGTCAAAGTCCTGTCATGATGAGATAGACAATAATCACATAGATAATTAGAGTGTGAAAAAAGTTGCTGGATGAAGAGATCCTCTCGCACAAAAAGGAGCCAGAATGACAAAAAGCCCCTGAAATGCATGTGCAAAAGACTTTCCAAGCAGAAGGACCATACTTTACCTTTCTATGGTGAGATGAGGGCTAAGAAAAAGTCTACATTTAATGTAAATAAAAATTTATATCAGTGGTGCTATATACAACAGCTGCAGTCTCTTCTTCACTGAGAGTTTCTTGTTTACAAAGGAAAAGCTTGCAATGAGGGAAAAATGCAATTTGTGGAGATCCAAGAGACAGAGCTGAAATAACTGCAAGAAAAGAATGAGACCCCCATGGAAGCGTGCTTCATGCAGGTGGCTAAGGTTCAGAATTCTCCAAAGCAGCTAATGTATTAGAGCAGCGTTTCTCAACGTTTGTGTGACGGTGACCCCCGTCACACAAACGCTATGCGCATGCGCGCCGACGCCCCCGGAGGGGACAAAATGGCGGATCGCCGCCTTTGGCGACCCCCGAAAAGTGGTCGATCGACCCCAAATGGAGTCGCGACCCATAGGTCGAGAACCGCTGTATTAGAGGATTATGCATGGGAAGGGGAGAGGAAAGCCCCTTGACAAAGAGAAGATAGAGATAAGAATAGATTCTGTATTTCCCCCAAAATAAGATCAGGTCTTATAATTTTGGAGGGGGGACCAAAAGATCCATTAGGTCTTATTTTTGGGGAATTTCTTATGTACAGTAGGTGAGCGTGCACAAGCGGGACGATGTTTGGTATAAACAGCGGGGTGTTACCTTTGCATGGGATGGAGACACAGCTTAAATATGTGGTGGCAATTGATCCATCCTCAGAGCATGGGGGCGGACCATCTACTGGTTCTGAGAGAGTTCAGGGAAGGGGGTTTGTGTGTATGCCATGCATGTGCCAATCCAGCCTCTGTGGCCCTTTGGCATCGAGGGGAAGGGAGCGGGGATGGCCAGCCAGATGCTCCTCTGGGTGGAGCAGTGGTTTTTTGCCCCAGGGATGCTAGGGTGCTGTCTTCCTGGTCCAGCACTACCGCCCAGCTGCTCTCGCTTCTCCCAAGCATTTCTTTGCTAACCGCTTTCCAGCTCCATCATGTTTCTCTGTCTCCATCACTTTTCTCCATCTCCGAGTGCAGAGAAACAAAAGTTTGTGGGGCTAAAAAAAAAAAAAATTTCAATCAGACCTTCCAACTTCCTGAGATCTTTTTTTTTTCATGAGAAATTGGAAGGTCTGATTGAACTTTTTTAGTTCCACAAACTTCTTTTGTTTCCCTGCATGTGGAGGCAGAGAAACATGACTGAGACAGAGAAACGTGACAGAGCTGGAAAGGAGGTTAGCAAAGAAATGCTTGTGGGAAGCTTCCCCTTGTGCCTTTGCCTCTGCCTGGGTGCTCAGCCTGCTAAACTTCACTTCTAGACAGGTGATTGATTTAACAAAGTAAACACATGGAAGAAGGGCAGGCACTGTAGTGAGACCAGGTTTTTTTTCCTCGCTACTGGATTTTTGCTGCCATATTGTTTAACTTTCTTTAAACTTTAGTTGATGCAGAATTGGAAGGATCAGCATTCTGCATCAAGTAAACTTTAAACAAATTTATACAGTATGACAGCGAAAATCCGCCAGTGGGTAAAAAAACCTTGTTTTTTTGAGATGCCAGACTAGCGTGAATTCATGTGCCTCCAATCCCCTTGCTTGTTGCAAAGCCAGATTGGAGCCCTCGGGCCGCTCCTTCCAGACAATTTCGGAGTCAGTCCAAAGCAAAGGGAATGATTGCCATCCACAGGCTCGGGACAAACCGATATCCAGGACTGAAAAAGCAGCAACAGGAGCGAAGGGCTGTTCAAAGGAGGAGGAAGGAGAAAGTTGGAGAAGCCATTGAGCAGGTGAGGCACAACAGGTATCAGGGTGTGATAGGCCTGGCTGCAGGGGCCCTTCGGCATGATAAGCTGTTGTAGGACATGTGGGGCAGCTCTCCCCCACCTCCCCCACTGCCTTGTATCTAGCAACCAGATGGTGTGATGGAATGGGCAGCCGACAACCATGCAGGCTCTTAAATAGGGCTTATATTAGGCCCAACACTAAAAATGAACCTAAGTCTTCTGTTCAGGGTAGGTCTTATTTTAGGGGGAAACGGTAGATCAAGCAAGACAAAAATAGCTGCTAACCTGTGGTAGGATAGGATATGATGGCACAGGATAGGACAGGGCAGGAGCTGGAAGGGACTTTGGAGGTCTTCTAGTCCAGCCCCCCACTCAAGCAGGAGAACCTATACCATCTCAGACAAGTGACTGTCTAGTCTCTTCTTAAAAACCTCCAGTGATGGAGCGCCCACAATTTCTGAAGACAAGGTGATCCACTGGTTAATTGACCTCACTGTTAGGAACTTTCTCCTTAATTCCAGGTTGCTTCTCTCCTTGATCAATTTCCAACCATTGTTTCTTCTCCTGCCATCTGGTGCTGTGGAGAATTCGACCTGCTCTTCTTTTTTGCAGCCCCTCAAATACTGGAATACTGCTATCATGTATTACTTCTTTTTATTACTATTACTTCTTTTCTTTAGAGTAACCAAACCCAAATCCTGCAGCCATTCTTCATATGTTTTAGTTTCCAGGCCTTTGATTATCGTAGTTGCTCTTGTCTGAACTTTTTCCATGGCCTCAACATCTTTTTTGTAGTATGGTGATCAAAATTGTTTGCAGTATTCTATGTGTAGTCTCACTACCGTTTTATAAAGCGGTAGTAATACTTTGCATGATCTTGATTCTATGCTTCTGTTTATACAACCCAGGATTGTGTTATCTTTTTGGCGTCTGCTGCACATTACTAGCTCATAGTCAAGTGATTGTCTGCTACAACTCCAAGATCTAATGATCTAGCAACATCCCAGTTTTCTTAAATCAGGAGTGTTCAAACTTGGCCTTTTTATGATTTGTGGACTTCAACTCCCAGAATTCCTTAGCCGACGTGCCTGTTCAGGGATTCTGGGAGTTGAAGTCCACAAGTCATAAAAAGGCCAAATTTGAACACCCCTGCCTTAAATTCTACAGAGAGCTTTCCTACAGAAATTTCCTGAGGGTATTTACTATTCAATCCCTAAATAAAACACATTTCTCCTCTCCTTTTTCTCCCTCAGTATTTTAATGATATGTTATCTTTTCCATAGTTGCTTTCCATCCTTTTGCAGTTCCAACCTTTCTCCAGTCACAAGCAAGGCGCCGCTTTCCCCTTTTCATTTCTCCTCCAAGGAGCCTTGTCGTGAAGTAAAATTTCTGGAAAATCCTCTAGTTTCAACTTTCCCCCCACTTTGGAGCGGTTTTTTCTTTCCCTTCAGCATCCTTTCCTGGATCCAAAGCAGCTGCTTGGCTTTCCCGGTGATTCTGAGACATCTGGAGCCAAAAATTGGACAAGGGCAGCTGCAGATACAGAACCAGAGAAATAGAAATACGTTTTCCCAATTGTGGCTTCCCTGCCCATGCCTTCCTCCCCTTCAGGCGGAGTTCATAACAACTGCAAGACACAAATAGTGTTTCCCAGAGAGCCTCCTGGTCCTAGTTATCTGACCGCCCCTCAGTTTCTGAGAGGATTAGGGCCCATTTTGAGGCCAATTTCTGGGGAGCCTTCAGGTTGAGTGTTCTTGAGGGAAGTGAATTGAAATCCTCCAGAGCTTTTTTTTTTTCTCCATGTCCACAAATGGTCCCTGGATAGGAAGATGGAAAAGGCGTCGCCTCTGGAAACACCAAAGCCTTTGAGACGGTCCTTTCCTTCTCCCACACCCATCATCCCTGCCCTCCTCGCTTCAGACGCGCTCCTTTTTCCCGCCCTTTCGAGTACTGCTGACACTCCGCGCAGAGTCCACCAGAGAGCGCTCTCAGCCTCAGGAGGGAACTGGGCATGCGCAGGACTCCTCCGCCAGGGCAGAACACCCGCGTTGCCCGGAGAAATCGTAGGAGGAGGCTGCTCTTTCTCCTCCCCCCTCCCTCCGCTGAGAGGCGGGGGCGGGGCGTGGACGGGAGGCACGGAGGCTGCCGGGAATCCCTGCGGGGAGGCGGAGCCCGACGAGACTCCCGATTTACACGAGTGGCGGTTCTGCCCGTGCAAAGGGGTCCCGCGGTGGAGGTGAGCGTGGAGACGGGCCAAGTCTTCCCCCCAGGTGGGAGTCCGGGGTCCCATCTTCCGCTGCCGCCCTTTTCCATGCAGGGCCCGGCGGGGGGGAAGGAGAGAAATGGGGGTCGCCAGAAGGGAGGGGCCGTTTCCCCCCCATTTCCCGGGGGAGCCTC